ACCTACTATTCACATATTTCTTCAGTGGTTGTTTACTCCACTGCAGAGAGTAGGACGTATCAAGGAAAACCCCTGTGAAATTTCAGAGATATGTTTCGAAATACATGACATATTATTTTTTAAATAATTGCTGAAAATGTCCAAAGACCGAAAATTGTGTAGTACTCTACTGTGGAGATATCCTGTAAAAAACAGTTTTTCACCATTTCAGTTTTTGGTTTTGTTTTTTGTGGGAGGAGGGGGCGTGGCTAAAACAGCATGAGTCACCCCTCCCCTTGTATGCATCTTCCCTTTGGATAGTCTGCAAGTGTGGCTGCGCCTTGCCAGCAGTGAACAGATTCATGTCAGAGAAAAAGATGAACTTGGCGGTCAGTGTGTAAACCAGGTTTTTCGGCTGGTGTGGCTGTTTTAGAGTGCCTTGTCGTTGGCCATGAGTGCATGGCCACCTCAGGGAGAGAAGGCAAAAGAGCAAAGGGATAAAAAGTTTGGCTTGAGAGCCAGTGTGTGGACTGATTGTTCAGGTGGCCGCTTTAGAGTGCCTCGTTGTTTGCTGTGAATACATATGTATCAAATTGAGAAAGACAGAAGAGTTAGGAGGGGAGTGTGTATCTCTCTCTCTCTCTCTCTCTCTCTCTACACACACACACACACACACAGACTTTTTTTTAAAACTCTGATTTGACAGCCAGCTTTGCACTAGTGTGGCAGCTTTCGAGCGCCTCATTGTCATGATGTGGAAGGGCCCCATGACGAACCGGTGGGATATGTTGCAGTCACCAGAGGCTTTGAGTGGAGATATTTTTATGGATCCAACACGTAGTGATGTGTCGACATATGAAACATGCTAGACAAGGTCGCATCCATTTTTCCAGGTCAAAGTACTGGTATTTGATTGACAGTTGGGGTGGGCGTGGTTTCATCCATAGCATTTTGAGAATGGAGAGAAGGGCTTGATTTTTCAACTTTTTTAAAAGCCTCGTTTTATTCACTTGGTAATTTTTTTTTCCACTCGTTAAAATTTGGCAGGGTTATTAAAAATAACAAAAGTAGACCATTCCAAGAATAATTTTAGTGACTGTTTGACACCACTTGACACTGTCTCTCTCAAGACTTGTCATCTATTCATAAGATTAAATGTTTTTTAAAAAACACATCTGGCTAGTTGATCCAACAAACCCAGCAAATAATCTTTTCATCCTGTAATATTATCACATCATTTTTGTATTGTGCGAGAGATGGAATGAGAAGTGATCGAACATGAAACGTGAAGGGAAACAGAGACAACGCCACTTTGTTTCCTTCCCTCTCGCACTTATTTCCCAGGAGCATTTTTTATGTAATAAACTCCATCAAGGCAAATGGAAATCCATTATGGTATTTTGGAATAACACAAAAATCCATTTTCCCTCTACAGTCTAAACGGACGCACTTTGATGGATTCCGTTATTGAAACGTAAAAGCTCACGGAAGAAATGTGACGCTGACAGGATGGAAGGTGTCACATTAAATTTGCACAAACAAACAATTGTGCAACGTAAGCATCCGGTGGCCACATTTCATTCGCGACTGAGTATTTTTTTTAACTCGCTCTGCTATCGGTTTAGGTTGGATTTCATTCTTAGTGTAATCCCAAAGCATATTTGAACAAATAATTCCTTCTGATTGTGTCACACAGTGTTGCTTTATCATCACGAATGAGCAAAATTGTTGAATATTGCAAATCAAGTCCCGCTAAAGAAATATTTATCTCTCGAAGTACCACCATCACGACCAACAAAAAAATACAGTAGCATAGTAGGCCTAAGTGTACCTCAAAAAACAAGCCAAGAGGTTTTCAATTGAGGCCCACTGTATTTCAAACACGTCTACTTGGAAACTTATTTCACGTTTCCAGGAAAGGGGGGGGGGGGGACATCTGTTCTTATTTTACCTGTTTTCATAGCAATATTCTCGTCTATCTTTTTCTCCAGCTGCCAGTGAAATCTTCAGGCTCCCCGCAGGAGGGAAACCACTGAAGCACACATTGTACGCCACTAAATAAGCCCGTTACTTCCAATGGTCCTTTGCGTGCCAACTTGGATCAATATATCGATATTTTTGTGGACTTCCTCTGTCGTTTAAGTGTTGAGCAGCGTTTGGCGTTTCAGTTCATTTCCCCGAGACTGTGTGGCTGTTATTTTGTTTAACATCCCTTTTTGATTAGCCTGCAGAGGTACATACAACTGGACGGATGGTTGAAAACTCTCCTTCCTGCAGTATCCAAAGTCATTCTGCTTTTGGGCTGATCTTTTTTTTTTTTTTCCCCCTCCTCATGTTCATTACAGTTGCTGGGGGTCCTGTTTTAAAGATTAGCTTGATATTGTCCTGCGGTTAAAATTGTGTTTCCTTCATATTTGGTTCGATCCACGCCTTCCATCCAGTTTAGAAGTCAGTAAGATTCTAGTTTGATGCTTTGATGTCTCACACACACACACACACACACACACACACGCACACGCACACACACACACACACACACACACACACTGACACAGTGGGGATGGTAAAACCTGCTTTTATCTTAAGGCGGGGATTTGCTTCCAGATTACTCAAGATGCTCCGAGCTCATTTCCCTCTCTTTGTTTTCTCCCCTGCTAGTCTTTGCAAGCGCTAAAACTCTTTTTTTTTTTTTTTCCTTTTTACGTGACTGCTCCATTTTAGCTCCCATCGCTCCCTTGGTTGATCTGCATTCAGACTTCCTTGTTGGAAGCATCACGCATTCTACCTTGCTCTCTTTTTTTTTTTTTTTTTTTTTTTTAAAGACACTGATAAATGGCGTTGTCTCCTTGAAACATTTGACACTATTTTGTTAGACTGATCCAACGCAACAAAAGCCTCCACTGCAGCGGGGGAGAAGCCGACCCTCGCTACAATAGCTCTATTTCTGCTGACTCAAAAAGTCAGTTGTAAACACGAGAAGAAAAACACTCCACTCTTTATGACGTAAGGAACCGTATTTGGAACTAAAGTGTGTATGTGTGTTTGCTAGGTTGTTTTGTTCTTCTTTGTCAAAACCATCAAGCAAAGAATAAAATTATGAGATTAAGGTTGCGAGCAGCGATGAAAGGTTTTTCGAGCCCAAATGCTGAGGGAAAAAAAAATTGTAAGGACTTTTAAGGCCGTGCCAAAAGGTTTGTAATTGCGTGTAGATGCGACAAGATGGTAGCAAAGCTTTACTTATGTCGAAGTGAAACTCCTCAACTTACTTGTACATACTTCCTTGACGCCAACATGCCTTAGATGGCGCCATCTTGAGCATAAAAACATCTACTGTCAGACAAACTTACTTCATCGAAGAATAATAAAGGTAAAGAAATGAAGCCATTTCAAGAGCCCGATGAACCTCACCCTGAAAAGTCGACATAAAGTCCTGTCGTCCTCTAATACATGTCCAAGGTTTAAATATAAATGTCTCACATTTACATTTTCAGTTATTAAAACTAGCTTTCAGAAAAAAAGATTGCAATAACGGTGACATTTTGTGAATGTTGATGCATCATAAATGTGTGAGATACTCAGTTAAGAAACGTTTATTTTAAGTCGATAGAAAGTATAATTTTTTTTAGTGTGGTAAAAGTTTCGGATTGAAATGTTGATGTATCATGGTTAATGAAAGATAGTAAAAATAAAATACAGAATTTTAAAAAAAAGGACATGTTGATTTTCAGAGTTGTGTATGGTAACGGTAAAAGAATGATTTCCAAAATGTAGTGAGAAATGGCATCTGCATAGAAGCACTTCATGAAGCACCCATTTATTTTAAATCCTAAAATATTTTTATACTACTTTAGAGCTTTGTACCTTTTTTCCTTTTCTTCGCATGTTTAGTCATTTTCATGACGTTTTTTTTTTTTTACATCTCGTTATTTTTAACGTTTTTATGATTTTTTTTTTTTGTACTTGTATTTCATTGCTGCGCAAAATCACGTTGTTCTCCAGGAACGTAGCATTTTGACTTGCTTCGAAGTTACCAAATGGTTCTTCACACGACCCAAAAATTCCTCAGTCCTCATTTGAAACCAAATTGTTTCTATGTCTGAAGATCCTTTTTCCTTTTTTGTTCTAATCCGGTGTAACTAAACCACATGCTCACACAAAAAGAAAAAAAAAATACTGCGATTGCCCAGGGAGAAAAACATCTCGTCGAGGCAGGAAACAACGGAATGAAAGACTAACATTTAATTACGCCTTCATGTAGCCATAAAAGCGAGGAAATGAGGGGGAGAAGAAGGACGAGGGTTTGAGGAGAGCGGCGGCGAGCGGAAGACACTGAGCGCAGTGTTTCGATCTTCATTTAATAATTGAATAATAATCTCCTTGGAGACCTGACCTAGAACCAGCGAGGAGAGGAGAAACTGCATCAGGCCCAGCGTGACACTCTGCTGCCTCCTTGTGGCGTTTCAACAAAACACACACACGCACACCCCGTGATCAATATTGATGGAACTTTTCCAACTGGCTGCATCATGCTCCTGCTGACACACTGTCCGCCTTTGATTTACAGCAGATATGAGCCATAGTCAGTCATGGGAAGAGGAAAAAAAGGATATTTCATTTTGTCACCTCACCTAAACACACGCGTACACACTGCCAGAAGCTTATTTTCTCGTCAGGCACACTTTCTTTCAGATGGCGAGCACCGCATAGTGTTCGGGTTGATGTACGCGCATCGGGGCGAAGGGATAACGTGGCGCTATTTGAGTCTGCGGTTCTGAAGGGAGGAAAATACACACGTTGATTTCCGCACTTACTTTACTGTCGCTCGGATCCGCGTTATCTCTGATGCACAATGATGGATTGTGCCGGTGCTTTTCTCAATTCAACCTATTGCGACTAACCTTGACTTTTTTTTTTTTTTTTTGGTTTTGTTTTTGTTGTTGACTTTAACTTTCCGAATATGACAATACTCATTTTTTCATCCTGATAACAAACGATGTCCTGGTTTGTCTTTGTGCATCCAGTCTGCGTCGCGAGGGCTACACCATGCAAGTGAACGTCAACGACTACCTGGATATCTACTGCCCTCACTATAACGACAGCCAGCGCATCGTGGGCACCAGCGAGCAGTACGTCCTCTACATGGTCAGCTACCGCGGCTACCGGAACTGCGACCCCCAGATGGGCTTCAAGAGGTGGGAGTGCAACCGGCCGCACGCCCCCCACGCCCCCATCAAATTCTCGGAGAAGTTCCAGCGCTACAGCGCCTTCTCGCTGGGCTATGAGTTCCACGTTGGGCAGGAGTACTACTACATCTGTAAGTATTTGTTGTCCATCCTCATCTGTCGATTTCATTTCTTGCCTTTACTGAGATCTAAACGTTTTGTGTGTGTGTTTTGTTTTTTTGTAGCCACGCCGACTCATCACCACGGCCGCAGCTGCCTGAGACTACGCGTGTACGTCTGTTGCTCCACAGGTGAGTCTGGCACTTTTTAACACCCACAACCAAGATCCATCTGGGTTGATCTGCCCCCACATACAATCTGGAGTCCCACGAACACTTTGGCATGCTTCCCTGTGGACACCTGCTGGCTGCACTGCAACAAGAAAAAAAAATTGATTCAAAGATCTGTGTCAAGGTCCAAAAAGAGACATTTTATGGAAGATTGTGATGTCATTTCTAGTCGACAGCAAGTGGCAAAATGGCCGCCTCTCGCAAATGAAGGGGATAGCAGGGTTCCAATGCATTAGTGATGTGTCCGCTGCATGTGCCACATGCACAGATCCACAAATTTGACGTATGTAAGTAGACAGGCTTGGTGATGAAACACTGCCTTCACAATGGAAAATACAATCCAGGCTAATTTCAGCTAGAGACAATTTAGGGTGTGTAAAGTGTTTTCAAATTCTTATTTCTTGGGGACAAAAGCAGGCCCCAGACATTTTATTCGCTATGGATGCATGGGAATACTCATGTGGAATCAACATTTTTGACCGGCAAATACGTTCAAACGTATTTGCAAGGATGGTCGAGCGTCCTTGTAAGCCAGGGGTGTCAAAGTCAAATGGACGGAGGGCCAGATAAAAATTTTTGCTGCAAGCCGAGGGCCGGACTGATCGAATGTTCATTGAAAATTTTAAAAATGACCACATATTGTTTATTGAACCAAATTTAATTGACTGAAAACCTAACAAATACATTCCAATACGGTCAGATAAATAAAGCAACATTTTTTATGGCTATGTCAGTAAACTTTCATTTTCAACAGGCGCAAAAAAATTTCCTTTGTATAAAAATACCCATAACATGAATGAAAGAAGCCGATATTATTCAAGGCACTATCACTAGTCCATATTTTCTCTTTTAGCAAAAGTAGGCTAAATTTACTTAAAAGAAAAACAAATAATAGT